GCCAGCTCGGCGGACTCCGCTCGGAGTCCGCCGGACTCCAACAGAGTCCACTGACTTCCGACCTCCGTCTTCCGACCCTCGGCTAAATTTGTCACGTGACATACAACATAGCATTTTGCAATATTGTGGTCAGATGAAAAGGTCGCTAGTGATAAACCTTAACCATTACCCTCACAATGTCAATAGTGTACAACTCTAGTCCTAACTTTGACCCTATAATGTATAAACATTGACCCTAACCCTCCACCAAACCGTCCGCAGCGAAATATCAATGTCATTGACTGGTCACGTGACCAAAACAATTTTTGTTATATTATCTCATATGGGGAAGCGTTTTTAGCAAGCAAAAATACGTCGACCATCACAGGACGACGCCAGCCAGCACTCTCTACGCTCTTCGAGCTCCGATCGTCCTGTGACGAAGTAAGGACGAAGCCTGAGGTCCTCAGGTAACATCGACCACCGATTGAAAATTCAAAGATTTTTTGACATAAAGGTCAAATGTAAAACTAAAATCTTGATGTTGATTGATTGACGACGTCAATTTTTGAGCACAGCGCGAGCGCATGCGGAAAAGGACCGCGTAGCTAGTCAAGATGTTGATAAATATTTGGCTTGTGGCGCGATATGTTGCTCTAACTATAGCTATAGCCCTCTCGCTTGCAGTAGCGCGCGACCGCCGGAGGCGGAAATGACCTGGTTAGCTAGGTAAACGCGATGTGCCTTGTAGGATGAAATCCTACTAGCTGACGCCATTCGCAGCTGTGCTGCTCGCTGTACGTCAGCGATCGAAATTTATACGCGTATCCCCCGTTAAGATGTGCCACTCGACGCGCCACACAATTTTTCTCGTTGCTCGTCGCACGTCGACAAACAACGAAGCTCGTTGCGACGCGCCGCGCAATGAGCTGCCAGGCTAGGACATCGTCCTGGTCCAACAAATTTTGGCGAGCGATTTTCTCCAAAAATTTAATGAGGGCGCCGACTTCCACTCTGGCTAAGTTTCTTCTTACCCAGCGCGCGTTCCTTAATGGGATGAGGAAAAATTAGGTAAAAAGAATCCACTGACTTGGCCAGAGTGCTTTCATAAAACTCTATTACTAGCTTAGCGTTGTAGGATTATATACTTTAATTTCGGATCGAGTGAAGCGAGTGATACACATTACTTTGATTAAACTCATGCTGATCACAATACACAATACAGTACAGGGAAGTGGGTAACACGGCTTGCAGTCGCAGCTGCGGCTCCTCGCTGGCGGTAATAATTTTGTTTTTAATGCATCCAAAATTTTAAATTATCTCCTTGATCATGATGTACCGTATCATATTTTGTCAATTTCACTATTTAAAAAGAGATTTAAGAACCATTTGCTTCATATACAAAACCTAGGGCTAAATGGGGATCATGGATGGCTACCATGTAATCACGATATCTTCTCGAATGTATCAATTTCATAAAATAAGTTAATTTCAACTAGGGAAATATAAATTGAAGTTAATGTTTTGGGGACGTTTGTGTGTTTTTTGTGTGTATTTTATTGTGAGTATTTAAAACAAGATAGGGACTATAATTGTAACGGTTTAAGTGTATACGTCTTTATTAATGTTGCCTCCGATTTCACTACACTGACAACATTCACTTTTTATTTTTTGTGTTATTTTTTACTTGAGATCTCATATCATAAAATTTTACCATCGCGATACGGGTATTAATTTACCTCCCAGCGGTGAGACACCGCTTCCCTCCATCGCCATGTTTGAAGCTCTCCCATCATCTGTTCTACTTCAGAGGGAAGTGACTTATTTTATATTTTAAAATTGTTATTATTCCAGTATAACAAATAAATTTTCTAATCGTGTAAAAAAAAATCGTGTATCGTGTAAATCGTGTAATATTTCAATGAACAAGAATTAAGAAAAAGAGAATTTAAGAAAAAGAGAATTTTATTTGCCACAGAATAATCAATACATATAATATACTTCAAAAAAAAAACTTCAAAATATATTGTTAGTTCATCTATCGTTCGTAAGATGGGGTACTCTCAATAATCAAGTACATGAGTACCCGACCCGCCGCGCCACGCAAGCACCACACTGCAATTGAAATTGGAGATGTAAGCATAATGGGCGCGGGGGCGCCGCGCACGTGGATCGAGCCGGCTCACGTACCCAAATTGCAAATGCAAATGTACATGTCACAATGTCACACTCACAGTCACATTTATTAATTTCTACACAATTTATTCATTATACTTATCTGCCCACGAGTGCTGGTATCAGTTTGTGTCTTAAGACACTCTCTAGTGGTCTGAATAGTTCTGCTATGTTGGGAATGGCGAATGGCGAATGGCGAATGGCGTCAGCTAGTAGGATTTCATCCTACAAGGCACATCGCGTTTACCTAGCTAACCAGGTCATTTCCGCCTCCGGCGGTCGCGCGCTACTGCAAGCGAGAGGGCTATAGTTAAAGCAACACATCGCGCCACAAGCCAAATATTTATCAACATCTTGACTAGCTACGCGGTCCTTTTCCGCATCACGCATGCGCTCGCGCTGTGCTCAAAAATTGACGTCGTCAATCAATCAACATCAAGATTTTAGTTTTACATTTGACCTTTATGTCAAAAAATCTTTGAATTTTCAATCGGTGGTCGATGTTACCTGAGGACCTCAGGCTTCGTCCTTACTTCGTCACAGGACGATCGGAGCTCGAAGAGCGTAGAGAGTGCTGGCTGGCGTCGTCCTGTGATGGTCGACGTATTTTTGCTTGCTAAAAACGCTTCCCCATATGAGATAATATGACAAAAATTGTTTTGGTCACGTGACCAGTCAATGACATTGATATTTCGCTGCGGACGGTTTGGTGGAGGGTTAGGGTCAACGTTTATACATTATAGGGTCAAAGTTAGGACTAGAGTTGTACACTATTGACATTGTGAGGGTAATGGTTAAGGTTTATCACTAGCGACCTTTTCATCTGACCACAATATTGCAAAATGCTATAAAGCAATGAAAGGCATTAGTTTGGTCAAATCAAACGGAACATATGCTATCAGACTTTCAACTGACTAAGGCAGGGTTAAGACAATCTCGACGCTAGCAACGATCCCATGTTGTATGTCACGTGACAAATTTAGCCGAGGGTCGGAAGACGGAGGTCGGAAGTCAGTGGACTCTGTTGGAGTCCGGCGGACTCCGAGCGGAGTCCGCCGAGCTGGCGGAGTCCGCCAAGCTCCGCCGGACTCCGCCGGATTCAAGTCTGGCGGAGAGGTCCGGCGGAGTCCGCCAAGCACTCCGCCGGAGTCCGCCTAGTGGCTTTGTCCGCGGCGGACACTCCGCCGAGCCGCCGCGGAGCCGCTCGGAGTCCGCCAAAATGTACTCGAGTCCACTGTAAATACATTTTGGCGGAGCACCGCCGGAGTCCGCTCGGAGTCCGGCGGCTCCGCCGGAGTCCGCTCGGAGTCCGCTCGGAGTCCGGCGGCTCCGCCGCGGACTCGACTCCGCGACGGATAGTGCCTAGAAATGACAGTATATATATCATCATTATGTTTTGTTTGCTTTCTCAAAGATATATGCATGCTTTAAGAATAATAATTCTAGTGTCAAGGAGCAAGATTAGGGGGTGCATATATTCTAATCAGATTCAGGGATGTACTAATGTTTATTTACTCAAAATGATCACTTGATTTTGCTCTGGACTGGCTCATGTAAAAAGTTGATAAGAGCTATATAGATACATACATGAAGATGTCTCTTCCTATATGGACTGATAGCCTCTCCTCTATACAAGCTCGCATTGAATAAGGCCAAGGATTGTACGTTTACAACCTACCAGGACACGCGCCGAGTTGGACTCGTCGACGGTCCAGATATCTCTCGACGGTCCAGATATCTCGTCGATGGAACAGATATTTACGAGTATCACCCGTTAAAACAAAAATAGAACTACTAAACTAGAAGCAGTGTATGTTGTAGCGCGATGCACTACTGGGTCGCGCCGCGCATCAAATAATTCTTCTCGCAACCACAGTAGTGTGCAAACCAACATTCGAACCACCAGCAGCTGGTGGTCAATTTCCTACGAACGCGACTTAATTTTGGTCCAGACTGGAGTCGAGCGCTACGTTATAGCTTTATATATAGCTCGTTTCACAACGAAATCTTCATTTCCTGAGTTTGTCTGTCGATTACGTTGGTATCTGCATTTTTAATTTTGTATTCGAATGCCGTTCATTTATTTTATTAAATAGTTGTTTTTCGTAACAGCACACTAGTACGTGTTTCCTTTTGTTATTCTTACATAATTAGGAAGATTTTAAACTTCAAGTTCAATACTATAAATAATCACATATTTACGAACACCGATCATCGGTATGTACCCATTATTGGTATCGAAGTCTTATGTTGAGCTGGATATCGAAAAATTTCAAATTGTAAGGCTGTAATTTTGTACTTGTTTAGGTGTAGAACTAGGATTAACAACTTGATTGCTAGGAGCTAGGAAGAGATTTTAGTAATGATGACCCTTTAAACTTAAACTGTCTCTCTAGTGCACTTCGATCGGTTTTCTTTTCAATTTTGATAAAACCTAGTCGTGATCTTTGTTTCAGAACTTCACTAATTTATTAAGTTTTGTAGTTTATATAGACGGAACATGAGCAGATACCATTTGATTAATAATAATATATCCGATTTGATATATTATTCTGTCGGAGTTTGAGTTCAACATGGACACATTTATTAACATCCTGCATGAATTTGTGTCGTCTTTACAATTTTTTGCGCTGAATTTGTATGCTTATTTATAATACTGCCGCATGATATCAGTAGCTGCTATGAAACTAGAGTGTATAGCATGTGTATTATACGATGTTTCCCACGTAAAAATCGCAGGTTGTTTTGGTGCGGCTGGGCACTCTACTGGTGATTGACACCAGAGACTGAGAAAAACTTTGACATAATTTCCAAGTTTGATATGACCTAATAACTACCACATTTACAGGAAGTATGGTAATACATTCTTGTCAGCTGTCTGGGCAAATCTTCTCTCGCAGAATTGGATTAAAATTTAATGTATTTCATTTCTCACTTCCAACGACAAAACGATGTTGCAATTGTTAGGTACGTAAGATTTGAAGTTATTTTGAGATTCAATTAATAAATTTTAGATTGCAGCTTGATATCACTTAGTATGTACATTGTACTCGGTTGCAAGGGTAGAACTTATGAGAATACTATCATAGTATTATTGCACTATACTATTATGGGTTCATCAAAGTTCGTATCATGATTTGTCACAATTAAACCATCGAGTCACTTGAGGAAACCCGTTAAAGCTCGCAATTGGCGACGAGATAAAGTTTGTGGTACCTCTAGATGTTAAGTTAACTCTCAGGCTCCAATCTTCCTTACTATACCTACCACTCCTTCTTCCTTGATAAGAAGTAGATCCATCTGGAACAGTGAGCTGCTTCTTCCCTTCTATCCCGTACTAGCCTACTCAGCTCTCTCCAAACCGTGAACAACCACTCCCGGTGCTAGAACTTTAACCGCATAATTATAACAGCACAATTCTTTCGCTTGAATCTCAGTCTGCTGTAAGACTGCTGTACCGGTAGAGTTTTTACTTGTATGATTCAGCAATCTGTTCTTTAGATGGTACCGTTACCTCCCGCCATAAGACTGTGCCGTCTTGGTGACCTTGAGAATATCATAAGGTCCGATATATAAGAGCACTATCCAATATCGAGACCCACTCAGGATCCCAAACCACGACTCCTTTCGGTCGTCTGTACCTGCTTTTTTCCTCCCAGCAGGGACTAAGTCAATGATACTGTCTTTCATCGCTGGCCTTGTTCTTATAAGTGTTCACTCGGCGCTCACAAGATAACATGTTCAGAGATCTGTTGCAGAACCTTGTCGTGCAGTCATTTATATACTCCTTGACTAAGAGCTACTTTACACCTACAGCAAAAATGTGCTAAATGATACCCATCCTCTCCTCACACTACTATACTTGCACTTACCATCCTCATCTTCACCATAGAGGGGGTTAAGAGGGTGGCGTACACAGCATCTAGCACGAACCCAATAAGTGAGTCTACAGTGCGTGTCGAACTACATTGCATGTACCCTTATATATTAATTGAGACTTTGAGACAGAATTTTAATAAATCAACAAATTCTTAGAATTTAAAAAGGTAGAATTTAATTCTATGGCATTTATTGAAATCTGCTTTTTTAAAGTTGAGAATTGGTTTCAATTTCTAGAATATCACGATAATGTTGACTCAAAACTGTTTCAGGCAGCTATCAAGTCTCAAGATATGACATAATTTGATAGAATGTTAGTACCAATGCTATCAGTGCATTCAAGTCGAGTTCTCGATACAGGTATTATAATTAGGTTCTATTGACCGTTTTTGTAGTCTTAACTCATTTTTATTTGTTATTATACGACCAATTAAAACCTAGCAAACCAGACTTCTTTATGTGCTAAATGTTACTTTAACCTTAATAATAGCAGCATTGTGGCAGATATCCAGTTACATTTTTTCCAGCCGTATATTATAAATATACAGGGTGGGCCAAAAGTCAGTGTGCAAACGTTGGCCTTAATAGCTCAGTCACTGAGTGCCCAATTGAAATAATTTGTTCTGGTATGACTTACTACTCAGGAGGTGACCGGGATTCCCGGAACCGGGTCAAGTCACATTTTTCATCCCGGTCGCGGTCCCGGTCCCGGTCAAATGCTGATTTATGATCCCGGTCCCGGTCCCGGTTAATTCAGGATTCTTGGTCCCGGTCCCGGTCAATCACTCAAATTAGCGGGGATTTTGACCGGGATCTTTTACATTCACTGTGATTTTAAGTTTTTACTTTCATTCATTGTGAATTTCATCTTTAAACAACCTCTGAGCCAAATAAAACAATGCTTAAAATTGCTAAACAAGTTTAGGTAACTAATATCGTTACATAACTCATAAGTGCAAAGTAACATCAAGTTTTCAACTCGGGCTACGCCCAATTGTCAATTGGAATTGGAGAATGAAACTGTTGAATAATTTGAGGGATCATTGATTGAGGAATGAGGAATGAGGGTGAACTTGAGTAATCAGTACATGAACATTATTGGTGTAGTACATTAGGCCCATGCCCCATATTGACGGGTTTTTACTAGTTTTTTCTAATTTAATATTCTAGTTATTACTTATTCAAATTGTTCAATTATAATGTAAATGAAAGTTGCAGCTTTCAATATGAGAATACCAGTTTTGGTCCCGGTCATCCCGGTCATCCCGGTAAAATTGGATTGTTGGTCCCGGTCCCGGTCCCGGTAAGATAGAAATCCCAGAAATTATTGGTCCCGGTCCCGGTCCCGGTAAATTGATAATCTCAGTCCCGGTCCCGGTCCCGGTCCCGGTCCCGGTCAAGTCACATTTTGTATCCCGGTCCCGGTCAGGCCTGAAATCATGTCCCGGTCACCTCCTGCTTACTACCACCACTGGTTCGAGAAATTTGTCAAATCGAAACATATTTGTGTTCATTTTTTTCAAAAGAAGGTTCATTTTCGCATTTATTTGATAGTTTGGATAATCGGATCGAGCCAAATTTTATTGAATTGTGTTTGGCCATTTAAATTACGTTTGCTCTGAAAAAATGAGAGTATATATATATTACTCATGCAACTAAGATAAATTGAGTATAAATACTCAATTTATCCTAGTTTAAGTTGCAAGTTATATAACTCATTTTCTAAAGGTTTCGTAAACTTTAATCAATTACAGAGGGTGTGGCCTCTTTTTCACTGAAAAGACGCCATCAGATTTCATTGCATTCTGGGACCAATTTTGGTGTGATTTAAACTATCCTACAAATTGGTGTTTACTGTTTCGACTTTTGTAAAATCACTGTAATAATATAATCTGTATTCTTATAGTTTCAACCATAATAGTGAAATAGAGGGGCTGGCCAATAGCCACACCCTCTGTAATTGATTTAAGTCTACGAAACTTTCAGAAATTTGTGTGTAATTCGGAGATAAATTAAACAAGTTGTTATCGGCCACCAGGCACCATGATTATTATTTTACCATGTGTAAACGGAATGTTCTAGCAGACTGTATAATACTATAACATACATTTTCTTACACACACATAATCTAATCTCTGGAATGTTGCTAATTGCTATGATATGGCAATGTTTTGATACTGTGTATTATCATGATTATACCTTACAGGCCGATCTTCCGATGGAGTTTCGGTTGCCATGGCAACAAATCATTATGATAAGGAATTTGTAAACGTGCAGTCACAACTCGATGTCGTGTACGGTGCGAGCGGTTATTTTATGATAGGTAACATCTACTTTTTCAGCATTTGCGGGATGACCAGTTCACACGTATATTTTCGCAGACACAACTTCGCATAAAATTATATCCAATTATTCTATAACCAATTATCTACACGGACTTCTGTCTAAATATGAATGAAATCGAGAAAACCAAATATTATATGATTCATCCTGAAGTGCTGAGTTCTCACGGCAGTATAATCATGATCCTGATAGATATCGAAGTCTCCTTAAATGATTGTCTCTGCTGCTTAATATATCTGGATTGTCGTTGGGAGGCGATGCAGATTTGTTTACTTTTAAGGGGGAGGTTCTGCTCAGCAGGAGAAAGAGGTGATGCACATTTTGTATTTGTCTGACATGTAGGACTTGAGCCACGTTTCCGTAAGTGCAATAAACGGTAACGAGTGGTTTTTGGATTTCTCCTGAATAAGAGCTGAGATTTTTGGCACTTCCCATCTACTCGCACTTGATGCACTAGGATTCATGGACTGGACATTTAAGACGAGGCATGAGGAATAACGGGCACGTGCAGTGTATCCTCTGAGGCGGTAGGAACTGCTGGTAGTGGTATAGTGGGAGCGCTGTTCCTGGCTGAAGAGGTGGATGTGGTCTGGGGTAGTGGTAGGGCATTTGAGTTTGAGGGAGGCTGGACCGTGGTCGACTATTTCTGATAGGAGTCCGATCCTGGTTTGCATCGTTTCCAACAGTCTCCGTAACTATAAAAATCCTGTGATCTGGTATTGGTTACTTAAACTTATTTAATTGAACATGGTGTTTGACGTTGGAGCTTATCACTTTACAGTTTACATCACCTTACCTGAATAATTGAATAGGATGAATACTGAATAGCATTTATTAATGCTGTCTTTACCCGGAGAACTCTGTTTTACTTGTCCCTCGGTAACACAAGACCGTGAGCCGTGACACTTAGTCACAATAATTAAGTCATAAGTCAGAAAGAAGTCCATAATTCGTACACCCATGATTATGTTAAATATAGATTGACTCCAGTCTCCATTGTTCAATGATTTCATCAAAATGTTTTAGGAAAATGTTCACAGATTTGTTAATTTTGGACTCAAATTAACGTTGAGAAAAACTGAATTTATTTTGGAAAAATCCCGGCTAAAACCAAAATCCCGGCCGGTACCAGTATACCGGTACAAAATCGCCAAATACCAGCCGGTATTCCGGCTGCGCCGGTATCCCGGTCGAGTTCTGTCTGAGACCTAATTTTATCTATTTCTCGTGCAATTTTAGATCAGACACAGTCATCTAAATTATTTAATAAGAAGGTTTAAATTATAGGCAATTAAAAACAATTGGGACTATCATTGTTTATGAGTACATATTATACGAATATAAGGTGGTTAATATAATTATAACACATTTAATATAAAACATTTAAGACACATTTTTTTATTCCTGCATTGTACTCAATAATTTAACTAGTAATATTATATAAAAACCACATTTCTATTTGTACAGGGAGCTGCTGGTAAACTACCGTCGCTATACATCGACTATGACTACAATCCTACTTTTAAAAACAAACTACATACATATCTCACATTTGCGAGGACTACTTCATCACAAGCAAAAAATCGCCATTGGTAAATAAAGTAGGTTCTTTTCACTGACTTCGTTAAATGAGTTACATATTTTCACACAAATTACGTGCGTGATCATTAAAGGGTTGCTTGTGTGCAGTTACTTCTGGGCCAGCGCCACCCTGTTGGGAGTTTTCACATAAGTAAATTTGCCGATAATACAATTTTACTCATTCTGGACATGTTACCTATATTATCATTATACTAGTATTTCTTCAGGTCTGTCTTCTATAACCACGATGAAAAGAAAAGCTGGGCGAAAAAATTTGAGACTGCAGAACTGGAACACTCTATTTGAAGACAGTGGCTGCTGAGTGCTGAGCTGCATCAAATCTATCAGCATCATGTAACTTCGATCAGGAACAGACTCCATTTCATTTCCGACAACTAGCACCTGTTTTCCCTAGACTTACCAAGTATTAAGTAACTGCATTAGTATTAGGTTAAATTAAAGGCCCTACATCGAACAAGTCTAACAATTAAAACTTAAATGCAAGAGTGCACAATTTATCACTACATATCTTCCTCTTTTAATTCTAATCAACACACGGTTTCGTCTTTGTTTCACCCAATCGTGCTGATAATCAGTAATCATGCACTCTGCACTCTAACTTCGAGATGTTTCAAAAGGGCTCCCGACGATTTGAATTATATCAATATTTTCTTTTGATACATAGATACTGATTGGGAGGTTCATCATACTATTCTTGTCACATGGTAACGATTAACGATTAGCTGATCAGCTTCCAGCATCGACAGGCCGAAATCCATAAATATAATCAGTTGTAATAATAATTATGCACACCTATAATTAACGATTATCCATCTGCCGATGATCGATTACCATTTAATATTTATCATCGTCCGGATCATCATAATATTTTAATTTAAAGTTACAATTGAACGGTGTTAAGAAAGATAATTTAAGAGAAATGTTTTGAAAGTGCCTGATTTCGAGTATAAGATCTGTACTGATACATTAATTTTCAGATTGTTATTATATAGTTTATTTGTATTTGTTATATTATCTTATCCGCACAAGTTCGGAAGCCATCTGAACGGTATTGCCAGACACAGGCATATATTTATTTTGGGGTATCATGCTCTCAGAAACTTCAACTCAGTCCGATATTATAGTTATACTAACCTGCATTGCATAAGGTTAATTGTCTCTCAGTCTAGTGCATAAACCTTTTATTTTGCATAAACCCTTTATTTTGATTGGGAAAACTTTAGTTTAATGTGGTTACCGTCTCTAAAGTTGGCATGATAGTTAATAAACTCTTATCTATTATGTCACTGAAGATGACGCCTTTCAACATGTTTGACGATAGCCTGTAGATTGATAGTTTGATCTCAGTATTTACAACAATTCATCTAGTTCGATTGATTCAAAGGGAAACAAATTCCTCTTTTATCTATTATGACTATATTTAAATTCAATCCTGTAAAGTAATACTCCTTTTTTAGTAATTTATACATGTGTTTTCTCCTTCTGATTTTTAAACTATTACCGGTCACGCTGAATAATAATGACATCAGTGAATTTAAAGCTATCGTTAACATCACTCAGAAAATGCGCGTCTTTAGCGCGTGTCTTGTTGTTATGCATCAATCCTTCGGTAGATCGGCGAGATGCACCACTGTGCCTCACCGAGCTGCGAAGGATTGACATCGTGAATCAACAGTGTATGTAAAGTAACATAGGTGATAGGCAATATGAAATTACAAATCTAATTGTATCCCATGGACTTCTCTTGTATCACGTTGCGACCCCCACGGTCGTTTCACTATGACGATACAGGGGGAGCCGCGCACTTCGTGCGCGGCGGGTCATACAACGTATGACAAGACTTATCAATTAAGGGCTGGTGGTGGTGTCATCGTTTGTCGTACTCAAAACTTTCGCGGTTGCGAATGCCGGCCCATCGCGTTAAATCTTTTTACTTTGTTTTTTAACCATTATAAAGTATGATTAGTTGGATATAATATTGAGTTCAAACAGTTCCTTCATATAGCCATGTGTATACGCGTACTGCGTGACGCGCTTGTTTCACAAGCCATGTGTATACGCGTACTGCGTGACGCGCTTGTTTCATACAAGTTGAATTTTTGCCTACGGCGGTCGCGCGCTACTGCAAGCGAAAGGGCTCTGGTTAGAGCAAAACAGTTCCCGAAACGAAAAAGCAAACATTTGATTTTGTTTCGGCGACTGTATCGTTGATGGGCCAATAAATATTTGATCTCGAGTAGTGTTGAATACTCATATCTACATGATTATTGATTTAATTTAGGAATTGTATATAAATATCTTTGACCAAGTTTAATTGTTTATGAGTATGCACCCCAGGACTTGGCGCGCGCGGCGGCTCTGATGTTAACCGTTAGCGGCTACAAGTTAGTGGTTAGGCTGTACCTAACCATGTGCTGTCGCGCCACTGCGGGCGCGCTTGTTTCACAAGTCAAGAAAAAAACATTACATCAAGTGGTTAAAAATCGATCTGAAAGCTTTTCAGCTTATAGTTCAATCATGATAGTAATAGTAAGTAATAATAATAATAACAATTTAAACTTATAGATTATAGATTATAGTGGCACAACAACTTAAAATGCACAGGTGTGCCACGAAAACAAGTCAGGATTCAAGAAAACCTGAAAAGCAATCCATATTTGGACACGTTCATAAAAAGGTGGCACTAGAGATTGATTTTTCACTGCCAAAATTGTGTGAAGCATTTTAAAATACTTGTATCTCAAGGAGTATGCTATGAAAGTTAACCAAATTTTAAAATGTGGTCCAAAAAGATTCAAATATCACATAATTTAGTCATTCATCTCTTTATATTTGTTGATTGTGCAGATATGAGCCAGAAATCACAAAATATTCATTTCTTGCACCTCTAATGATGAATTTACATTCTGTGAGTGTGTCCTGCTTCTCAATGTGATTATTGAACCTTTCTGAGATAGTTGAGTGTTAAAAGTGCAAAGAGTCACCGGTTAAATGTGGAGTTACGATGCAATTATCACACACAGGGTTAATTCTGACTAAGTGTTTTAGAATGATGAATGTGATATGAATATCAACGGAACGATTGTAACAATGAACTCTATCAATCACAATTATATCATGCTAACTAACATTTAAGTGTCATCAAGAGTGGCATGTGGACTGCTTGTCTATGAAGGGTATAGCGAGGTCAGCTATCAACTCCATGGTAGAATGGCTGTGCCCATACTGCTTCGTGGCACCAGTATCAACACTGAAGAAACAGAGAGACGAATTTTGTTACAGCTGCAGGAACACAAGGGCTTTGCAACAGGCCAACTCAGATTTTGAAGCATCTACAGCTGTTAAGAATCTTGAAACTGTCAGTGCACTTGTTGCATCAGCAAGCTCAGCAGGCTCAGCTCTTGAAAAATTCCTCCTTATATGAAAACCAGTACGGATTCCGTAAAAATCACTCGACCAGTTATGCCCTAAATTACTCAGTGAACCACGTAGAATCTTGCCTCAAGAAAAAACAACACGTTCTTGGAATATTTATTGATCTTAGTAAAGCCTTTGATACAATATCACACGAAAAGTTACTGCATAAGTTAGAAAATTATGGAATCCGTGGAAATGCAAATAACCTTATAGCAAGTTACCTGTCGAACAGATACCAGTATGTCTCAGTATTAGGTGAAGACTCCGAGAAACTTCCAGTAGTCTATGGAGTGCCGCAGGGGAGCTGTCTTGGTCCCTTACTTTTTATTATTTATATTAATGACATCCGTAACTCATCAATTATAGGAAAGTTTATACTATTTGCCGACGACACTAACATATTTATAGAAGACACATGTGTCAAAAGACTATACGAAAAAGGAAATGAAGTTCTATCATTTGTGTACAAGTATATGAAACTAAACTTATTACATATTAACATTAAGAAATGTTGTTTTATTCATTTTAAACCCTCACGGGCCAAAGAGGAAGTAGAAAATGACGAGAACATACTAACTTTAAATAATGTAGTTATTAAAAGAGTTCAAGAAGCTAAATTTCTAGGCGTTATTATTGACGACCAACTTAACTGGAAATCACATACGCAGTCACTTAACTCAAAACTTAAATGCGAAGTAGGAAAGCTGTGCAGAATACGACACATTGTCCCAAAGCAGTATTATAAGGATTTATATCATACTCTATTTGAATCACATTTAGGATTTGGAATATCTGTGTGGGGTGGTATTAGCAATAACCGACTTGAACCTCTCTTTAAAACACAGAAAAAGCGTATAAGAATTCTGTTTGGGGATAGAGAAGCTTACCTAGAGAAGTTTAAAACGTGTGCCCGAACACGACCTGTTGATAAGCAAAGACTGGGGGTGGACTTTTACCAAAAAGAACACTCCAAGCCCTTGTTTAAAACCCACAGGTTGTTGACGGTCCACAATCTGTACAAGTACACTTGTCTCTTAGAACTATTCAAAATTAATAAGTTAGAGGAACTATTATCACTGTACTCATCATTTAACAGGTCACCACGACGAGAGGATTATTTCATTACATCACAACCATCCTCACAATTCATCTACCAATCATCCTACATGTGGAACAGCTGTCGACAAACATCAAGTAAGATAAGTTTTAATACTCCGACAAACGGGTTTAAGAATATATTGAAAATTGCCTTACGAGAATTGCAATTCAAGCATGATACACTTGATTGGTGTGAGCTTAATTTTGCCACAAATGAGCTCAAGTTCTGATTTATGTGATGTTTTAGATGACATTTGGCATTAAAGAAATTTGTAGAAATTTGTAGGACAGCAATAAACTGGGATTGAAAAGAATCAAGTACTCACGTAAATTTGGTAACTTCACAACAGCAATCTGCATTCTCCAATCAGAATTTACGACTTACTCAGGCCTCATCGTCTTAAGATTTTTACATTTCCTACGGTCTAGGGGACACTATTGACTATAATTATAGAAGTCTTCTAGAATGTTTGCTTGGATTTAATGACATATATTTACTAATCCACAGTTCAGATCTTTGACTGACTGCAGTCATAAACACAGCCCAGTTACCAGGCGACCATGGGGACTAGGGGGCTTATTTTTTTTCTGGGGTTCGATTTTTTCCGGGGGGGCTGCCGCCCCCCTAGCCCCCCCCCCTGGCTACGTGCCTGCTGCACTCCAACCAAAAACATTACTTACACCATACTCCACAAATGATATATATATATATATATACAAACACACTAGTACCGAGCAATCGCACTGTAAAACATGCTCACGATACACTCAAAATTGGAAATATTCAACGGCTTGTATATGAAACTTACACTTACACTCAGTGTACACCCAGTGTTAACTAGTATTACACACTGGTAAACTCTACGTAACGCGCAAAAATAATAATTCTATGGCGTTTTCATTGTCAAATCTCACGTCGACGGGATTAAACGCGCGCGCGCGTAACATCTTATCTTACTGCTATCTCAACGAATAAACACACAACGACTTTGACAATTGACCGACGACTTAACGATTGTGAGTTATGACGGACTTAACTGTATGGGTCAACTACTAAAACTGCATTGTATACTATCTTAATCATTATACTGGACATGAGATGACGAAGTATCTTAAGCAGCACTTTATACCTCCACTTAGAACTTGATTAGTCACGAACAATAGAATCATTATAAATCAATACAATAAAACATCTTGATCAATAAATGCCTAGCAGCACCAGACAGCAGCCGTGTACCTTTTTCGACTCCACGGAGTCCCTGATGGACTTTTGTTTACTTTTGTTAATAATTTGACCGCAACCTTTCTTTCTTGAAACACAAATCCTACTGTACTTCATTACAGTATTAAGATAATATAAAGCAAATCATGTGAATATATGACTACGAAATAGATCTATAGATTTGTCCATAATATTTAATACCGTATTGATGGTTTTGAATTTTGTATATCGAATTTTAATGTGAAGCGTTTTCTCTTCCCCCTCTGCAATTAATTAGAAAGTTAGATTAATGACAATAATTGCCAAATGACGTAGTAGATATAGATGTTCAATGTTGTAGAGTGATTTCAAGAGTAGTGGTCCACAGGGGTCCGAAAAAGCCGTACAGGCACTTGGGTCCTTATCCTTGTCACTAGTCCCAATTGGATTCACTTTACACAAAACATGAACGTTTACAATTTAGACGTACACATTGGCACGATATTTATTAGAAAGCAAACAGTATAAAATAATACGTGCGTGCGCGGCTTGAGCCGCGCCGCATAACAATTTATGCGTTTAGGGGCTGGAGTACGCGTGTTTACAGATTAATGAATTGTTGCATTTAATTGTAAATATTTAAAGTTGACGATATATTATGATTTAATAGTAAATTTTTCAAAGCTGGCTTTGGACTTAGGTAAAATTATAACTTATTTGTTTTAAAGAAAAAACCACGGATAGTTTT